AGAGTGAGAGATTGAAGGACAAGGAAAAAGAGGATAAATGTGACAGAAAGAGAGAAGAAAGTATCCGAGAAAGTATGTGGTCAAAATGGCGGGACGAGGGAGACCAAGTTCATATGCAGGGACCAATGAAGAGGCCTTGGTTGGGGTTATACGAGAATTTGTTGAGAGAGTCGATACAATCAAAGGAGGATCAGACATTGGAAAAGCAAAGAGACCAGAGTAGAGAAGTCCCTGTTTCAGAGGACCTCAAGTAAACGATTTCCTGGACGAGTATGAATTATTTGGTCTTAGTTATGATTGGACAGATAAGCAACGGCTTAAGCACCTCCTATCCTATTGTGATACTGACTTAAGATTGGTTGTTCAGAAACTAATGGAAGGTGTCACTACATGGGAAGAGGTCAAGAGAGAATGAAAAATGAATTTGAGAAGGACTCAGTTCCAACAACAACCAAGGATTTTACTCAACATCAGAAGAGCTAAGTATGACACTTTCAATGTTTTTCTTCAGACCTTCATTCGAACAGCAAGAAGAATTCTATATTTGGACGAAGCTCAGAGATGCCATATATTTTTGATAAATTTTACTGATACTGAAAGGCAGACAGTTCTCAATCAAGCTCAACACTATCCTCTCAGATGCGATGAAATGGTTGCAATTGTAAGAACTCTACCTACAGTTTCTCATAAGAAATGGTCACTGGATCAAATCAGTACTTTGGCCAAGGAATGAGAGACTGAGAATGGTATGAACCGAGGAAACAATCTGAGTGATGAAAATATTATTCAAAAAGTGATGACTAACTTTATGCCCGCAAAGCATGCAAACCATGATGTAGATGGCAAAGGAAAGAAGCAAGCTAAAAGTGAAGAGGATGATGATGATGATGATGATGATGATGATGAAAGCTATGGTAAGAAGAGAGATTCTTCTAGATCTAGAAAGAATGGAAAAATGGTGACAGAGGGAACAGAGAAAGGAAGAAGTATGATGACCGTCCTAAGAAAAGTTTTGTCTGATACTATTGTGGTGAAGAGGGTCACACTACTACCTATTGCAGGCCTCTTGAGGAGGATATAAGGAGTGGGGTGGCAAAGAAGGATGCAATGAGCGATGTCTGTGATAGTTCATGGAACAAGTTGGACCCCAGGCATCCAGGAGGTATGAGACTTCTTGCTCTTAAACATGATGAAAAGATGAAGATGAAGAAGAAGAGAAAGGCTAATGTGAGTTCATTTTCTTATTGATGAGTTGCCTAATGAACTAGTAAAGGAAACAAGTGACCCTCATACCACAACTGAGTTGTATCTGCAATCCTTAACGTTGGCAGAATGTGTGTCAGATAAATCTTCTATAAGTAAGCCTTCATTGGAAGTGAATTTTATTCCTCATAATCCTTCTAGATTAGTAGAATCTCTTCTCAATGAAAAAATTCGCTTTCTGGTAAACATGATGTCATTTGATGGTGATCTACCTCCAGAACTCGTCATGGAACCTAGTGTCATGCTTGGTGAAGTGAGAAACCTTCAAGCACGTATGACGCCTCAAATGATAGAGGAAAAAAAAAGAAGGAAGGCTGAGAAGTCATAAATTAATATTCTTGATAACCTAGAACCAGAACTTCCCTACAGAAAGAATGAGCAAGGAAGAAATAATTTTTTTTTTCTCAAGAATGACTTGGAAGATGGGACAGTGATTTCTAACGTAATTACTAAAATGCTGGAAGAGACTGAAGTGACTATGTCCTTCAAAGAAGCAATGACTCTAGCACCCAAACTGAGTGAGGAACTGAAGAAGTTGATTGAGAAGAAGAAATTAGAAATTAATTATTTAGTATCAGTTTTTCCCAGTCAGGTGAACAGGTCACTGCCGGGTTGCAAGATGAGATTTGCAACCATGGGATGTGGGCACCTAACCATTCGTATTAATCAAGTGAAGATTCTAGCCTTAGTGGACTCTAGGGCAGAGATGATACTCATTTCACGAAGAACAATGCCTAATGAACTAGTACAGGAAACAAGTGACCCTCAGACTACGACTGAGCTGTCTATACAATCCTTAACATTGACAGAGTGTGTGTCAGATGAAGCTTCTACAAGTAAGCGTTGATTGGAAGAGAATTTTACTCCTCAAAATCCTTCTAGATTAGTAGAATTTCTTCTCAATGAAAAGATTCACTTTCTGGTAAACATGATGTCATTTGATGACGATCTACCTCCAGAACTTGTCATGGAACCTATTGTCATGCTTGGTGAAGTGAGAAACCTTCAAGCACTTATGACGCCTCAAATGATAGAGGAAAAGAAAAGAAGGAAGGTTGAGGAGCCATTGATTAATATTCTTGATGACCCAGAACCAGAATTTCTCTATAGAAAGAATGAGCAAGGAAGAAAGAATTTTTTTTTTCTCAAGAGTGAGTTGGAAGATGAGACAGTGATTTCTGACGTAATTACTAAAATGCTGGAGGAGACTAAAGTAATTCTGTCCTTCTGAGAACCAATGACTCTAGCACCCAAACTGAGAGAGGAACTGAAGATGCTAATCGAGAAGAAGAAATAAGAAGTTAATTAGTTGGGATCAGTTTTTCCCAGTCAGGTGAACAGGTCACTGCCAGGTTGCAAGATGAGATTTGCAACCATGGGATGTGGACACCTGACCATTCGTATTAATGAAGTGAAGATTCTAGCCTTAGTGGATTCTGGGGCAGAGATGATACTCATTTCACGAAGAGCAATGAAGACTTGCAATTTATCTATTGATAGACCTGCAAAAAATATATTGAGTAATATTGCCGGAGAACTTTTTGTAGCAGGATTTATTGATAACCTGCCTATAAGAGTCGGTACCATGACGGTGGAATCGTTGGGTTTTGTAGTGTCGGAACTAGACCACGACTGTGTCTTGGGAACTTCATTCTTGCATAGGATGGAGGCAGTCCAATTTTTCAGTCATGAGGGGTCATCTTGGATCGGCCTACAAGATCCTGAGACTTCCTAGGAACAAATTTTTATGGTCTGCACTAAAAGTGATTTCAAACATCAATTATCTGCTAATTCAATCAGAAGAGAAGAGTCTACTGAAAGGATTAGGAGACTAAGAGAAAAAGGAAAACAAGAGGCGAAATAATTGATTTTAGTAGATATCAATCAAGTTTTGAAAATTATAAAAGCCCTTGGTAATCTCGAGGATGCAGATGGACAAATTGAAGCATTTAAGAAGGTTGTAGAGACTCCTAAAGATGAAAAGATGAAACTAAAATTTGCGTCGACTCAACCTTTTTTAGGTAAATAGTCACTGGGTCAAAAAGAAAATACAAGCCCAAGGGGGTGAAGAAAAACTCGGTGGCAGTCCTAATAGAAAAGAATTATTATGTAGCATTGAAAAAGGAGAGGGAGATTATTAAAGAATTGAGAGAATCTGCAAAATTGGGGAATAGAGTCACCAAAGAGAGATTTGACACAATGAAGATAGRATTGGATCAGTTTATCCTGCCTAAATTGAAAGAATATATCTTCAAAATGTGTCAGGAGTTCTCCGGTGCGTTCTCCTCTAATGATGAAGAGATAGGGTGGTTGGACGTGGATATGATCAAGATGACCAAAATTTGCACGGTTGATCACGTTTCATGGAATGATAGGCCGACCAAGTATGCCCTGAAAGAAGAAGCAGAGGTTGTAAAATATCTTGACAAGAAGATTGCATCTAATGTTGCTAAACCTGTTGATGGACCGTATGCTAACCACTGGTTTTGCTTTTGGAAACCAGGAGATGGATTGAGATGGATGCAAGATCTTCATAAGCTCAACTCTGTGACGGTACGTGAAACAGGTAATCTTCCTAATGTTGATCTCCTCTCCGAATCTTTTGCTCGACGATGCATCTATTCCCTAGTTGATTTGTATTCTGGCTATGATCAGTTTTCCATTGATCCTATGTAGCGGACCCACCAGGTGTGGTGCTCCGCTAGTGACAGAGATGAAGATGGAGAAAGAAGGGGGGGAGCGAGATGTCGCAACGCAGCTCCCCACGCAAGACTCCAACGCACGTACTCCAAAATGTGCAAGTGAAGAATGAGACTGAAAACAGACAATGGCTGGGGTATACCCCAGCGGACTGATGGGACTGGAGTGGACTGGCTGGTACCGACAGAGGTACCGGCCTGGACTGGCCTACCCCGAATACAACACAGGCCTGTGAGAACAGGCCAAGGGGCTGGTCTCACAGGCCAACCCGAGGTCCGCTACACGATCCTCGGCCTGTGATGGATCGCCTAGATACAAACATGCTTCCGCCAAGAAGCTCCATGTTGAGTCCATGCGATGCAACCTAGGATATAAAATGTCACACAACAGCAATGTCACAGCTAACAGCCTAAGTGAAAGTAGAAGCAACTAACTAACATACATGTCCTAGGAAAGCAAAAGCAACTAACTAGCATACATGTCATAGGAAAGCAGAAAGTAGTGACAACTAGATCCTAGAATGTTGGAGGCACTGGCCTCAGTCTGGTAACAACTGACTAGTGTATAAGTCCTAAGAACAGCAAAAGTAGAACAACTAAATCCTAGAAATGTCGGAGGCAGTAGCCTCAGTCTGAGAGCATCAGAGCAATCAACAAGACAACCATATGTCACATGAGAAGTGTGTCGCAAACCAAAGGGTGGGATGGTCTCTTAGGGTGGCGAATGCAGCCTATAGATAACAGGGAGACACATGTCATCAGGCTCAAGGAGGGTAGGGAACTGAGAGCGAACAGAACCAATGACCCTAACAAATAGACCATCAGGGCGGGTAATGCTCGACTAAGGGGTGACCGCTATGAAGGGTCGACCATGCAAAGGAACAGGGGAGCCTGGTATGCTGGGCGCAACTAGATGAAGCATGCGGGGCTGCCTAACTAGGGCGTGAGGGCTGGCGAAGGGTAGAAAGATGATGGGTGAGAGAATCATGCAAATGACTCCTAAAGAGAGGGAAGTCGGAGCTAGATCCGTAAGATGGGAAGCCAGGGCAACGCTACGGTCCCGATGCCTATGCGTATACCAAGGGAGAGCCCAACTCAGAGGAACCCGGCTAAAGGGAGACCATTATGCGATACAAGAGGGTACTGTATAGGGTAGAGTGGTAAGAGAGTGGCAACGTCTGAAGTAGGCAGGGCTGATAGTGATGAAGTCCATGGAGCTGCCGATGACGTCCACGATGAGAAGTCCGGAATGTCGTCGAGGAAGAGCCGCAGCGTCGATGAGCTGAAGTAGCAAAACTGATGTGGATGGAGTACTGAGAAGTCAAAGACGTGGGAAGGTAAGTCAGAGTCAATCGTCGTATCGAGCAGGACGACGACGAGTGCGCTGTGGACGCTCAGAAGCATCCGGCTGCTGCTGAAGGTTTGCCTCAGATGGAGAAGGCTCGACTTGAGCGGTCTCCTTAGTCGGAGGAGAAGGAGAAGGGTCAGTGGGCTGAGGAGGAGCAGAGAACCAGCACGATGAGCATGGTCATAGGCACGCACCAACATGCGAGCGTGCTGCAAGTGCTCGAGGGGCTCCCAGGTAGCCTCCTCATCAGGGTAACCCTTCCAACGTACAAGATACTTGACGTGGGGAGGGTTGTCGTCGGTGACTCGGTGAACAATGATGTCTGAAACGAGGAACTTCTCGTGGCCGTCCACCATGAGGGGTGGAGGGCGCTCGTATGGTCGTCCAGCGAAACGCTCAGACTGTCTGCGATAAGGACGCAGTAACGAGACGTGGTACACATCATGCACACGAGTCAAGCGTAGGTAGTCGGGCAGCTTCACACGAAAGCTGACTGGGCTAGATGTCGTATCAGAACCGACGGCCTGGAGGATGCGGCATGGGCCAAAGAAGTGACGTCGAAACTTGCAAAGCGTGTCCGCTTCGAGCTGTAAGTGGCGGGCGTCGATAAGCACATCATCACCGACCTTGAATGGGTGATCCATCCTCGATCGGTTCGCACGTGCTGCCATACGAGTCTGGGAAGCGGCTATGTGCTCATGTGCGGTCTTCATAATCGACGTCATGTGTGCAACCCAATCATCCAGCGCGGGACAACTCGTGTCAGGGTGCATCTGGGACGGTCGAAGGAAGTCCGCGGGAACACGCGGGTGATAGCCGAGGTCGCAATAGTAAGGCGACATCCCCGTAGCTGGCGAGACGGCGTGGTTGTAGGCTATCTTCGCGTGGGCAAGATGAAGATCCCACTGTTGGTCGTCAACAACAATCTTTCGGAGAATATCTCCGAGAGTCCTGTTCGTGATCTCGGTCTGACCATTAGTCTGAGGATGGTAAGACGAGGAGAAGCGGAGCTGAGTGTCGTACACCTCGTGGAGCCGTCGCCAGAATCGGCTGGTAAAGCGCGGGTCACGGTCAGATATGATTCTCAGAGGTAAGCCGTGGTCACGCACGACTCGGTCAAATACGATGTCGGCGACCTCATGTGCACTGATAGCATAGCGGCACGGAACAAAGCGTGCACGCTTCGTGAAGCGGTCGACGATGACCAGGATAGCATCATGACCGCGAGGGGTCGGAGGACGAAGGGGACCGATAAAGTCCATCGAGATGGACTGCCAACGACCCTCAGGGATAGGAAGAGGCTGGAGCAAATCATAAGGCAAGTGGTTTGCACTGTTCACCTCCTGACAGGTGGGACACTCTGCGACGTAGTCCTTCACAAAGTCCTTGCCCTTCGGCCAGACGTACAGGCGGTTCACACGAGCCAACGTCTTGTGGAAGCCCATATGACCGACGGCTGCCTGGTCATGGAACTCTGCTACTGCTCGGACACGTAGCTGTCCAGTAGAAGGAACGCAAATACGGGGCTCTCTGGTGCCCTGTGAACCATGCCAGTACACAAGACCGTTGTTCCCGAGAGAGTAGTTCGGGTCGGTCTTGCCACTCCGAAGTGTCGCGTGGATGTCGCGATAGTCGGGGCAGTGGCGGTACTGAGTACGAAACTCGTCGATCACCGAGTGGTGGACGGTGGTGACCGAGATGGAAGAGAGCTGGATGTGCTCCTGGTCATGGTAAGGGCATCGGGATAAGGCATCTGCGACCCGATTAGTTTCACCCTTGATGTGCTCAGTGGTGAAACTAAACTCAGATAGGTCGCGCCACCAGCGAGCCTGTCGAGGAGTGAGCTTCGGCTTTGTCAGAAAAGTCTGGTGCCCCGTGCAGGTAGTGACGCCAGTGCCGAGCGGCATAAACTACTGCGAGAACCTCACGTTCATCAGTTGTGTAGTTTATCTCGGCGGGCAGGAGCTGACGGGAGTAGAAGGCTATCGGACAATCACCTGAGCGAGACTCGACAGTGCCGTCCTCGGCGATGGTAGGGGAATAGTCAATAGAGGGCTCGTCAGTAGCTGGACGTGTAGGCGTCTGTCGGGAAGCAGTGGTAGGGGTAGGTGGTGGGAAGCGAGGGATACGAGGATGAGAGGAATCACGAGAGGAGGGGAAGACCTGAGAAAGCACTGCTCCTACAGCGAAGTCTGACGCATCGGTGGTAAGGATAAAAGGGCTATCAAAATCGGGTAGGTGAAGAACCGGTGCGCATGTCACCGCCTTCTTGAGGGCGCGGAAGGCGTCCTCGTGGAGGGGTGTCCAAGCCCAGGGTGGATTCTTCCAGAGGAGGGTGGAGGTAAGGACGTAGGAATACCTAGCGTATCCCCGGATGAAGTTACTATAGTAGCTGGTCAGGCCTAGGAAGCGGCGAAGCTGCTTGACGGATGTGGGAGCAGGCCACTCCGCAATAGCAGTGATCTTCGCGTCGTCCATGTGGAGACCCTGGTCAGACACGTAATGTCCTAAGAAGTCTACTTTGTGCTGGGCAAAGCGGCACTTGCTGAGCTTGGCGTAGAAGCCACGTCTGCGCAAGCGGTCAAGGACGCCGCGAAGGTGTCTGAGGTGCTCCTCAAGGGTACGACTGTAGACCAGGATATCGTCGAGGTAAACGAGAACGTATTGCTCCAGGATGTCCCTGAAGATGTCGTTCATCGCCCTCTGGAAGGTGGCGGGTGCGTTGGTGAGGGCGAATGGCATCACTGTAACTCGTAGTGGCCGAAGCGTGATCGGAACGCGGTCTTCGGCTGGTCGGCTGCAGCGACGCGGATCTGATGGTAACCGCTACGAAGATCAATCTTCGTAAAGAAGCGGTTGCCTGCTAGGCGGTCGAACAGCTCAGCGACGCGGATCTGATGGTAACCGCTACGAAGATCAATCTTCGTAAAGAAGCGGTTGCCTGCTAGGCGGTCGAACAGCTCATCGGAACGAGGCATGGGGTAGTTGTTCTTAACCGTGTTGCGGTTGAGATCGGGGTAGTCGATGCAGAGACGAAGAGTTTCATCCGCTTTGCGAGCAAAGAGGACGGGTGCACCCCACGGGAAGTTGATGGGTTTAATGAAACCCAGTCTCAGGAGCTCCTCAAGCTGACGCTTGAGTTCGGTGGCCTCGGGGATCGAGAGTCTGTAGGGTGCCTGGTGGTGAACACGATAGTCAGGCACAAGCTGAATGGAGTGCTCGACATCACGCATCGGTAGGATGCCGGCATACGAGAACGACGATGGAAAAACGTCATGGTACTCGCGGATGAGGTCATGAACTGCGGGCTCCAGGTCAGCCGTATATCGTGCGAGTTCCTCAGGGTCAGCGTCAGCGCGCGACGGCGGGGTGGACTCGACGGACGACGGAGGGACGGAAGTAGAGATGGGAGACATGGAGATAGAGGGAGGATCTGGCTCCAGAGGGATGAGCTCGGCGTCGGGACAGGGTGGATCATAGTGTAAGAGATCCGTCACRTCCACCATAAAGAAGGTGACGTCTTCCTGTCGAATGAAGTGAGCGAACTGCCGAGGCGAGGTGACAGTGATAGAGGGGGATGGTGTGGGCACTGAAGGCTCCGGGGGAGGACGATCGGGGCGTGGTGTCGCAGTGGTACCTATGAAAGGTAGGCGATACGTCTGTCCACGCTTCGTTTTGAGAACGAGAGTGTTGGTCGCCCAATCGCCCTCGGTGCTGCGGAACCGACGAGACCACGGAGTGCCGAGAATAAAGTCGTACCCCGTTTCCATCACATGGAAGTGTGCATAGGAGCGATGGTGACGAGACGCCGGGGAACGATCAGTCGGCTCGAGAGTGAGGAAGAAGGGGAGGTCGGTGACCGTCTGATCGAAGAAGCGCTGGGTCTTGTCATCCCCTAGGGTAACGGAGATGGGAGTCGGAGACCCTGTCGTGGGTAAGCAGGTTTCCTTCACCACGCGTGGGTGAATGAAGTCGCCCTGAGAACCGGAATCCCACATCGCTGAGTACCCTCGTGGAGGTCCCGAGTCGTACTGGGATGATGGGGAGGGTGCGATCAGGGTCAGAGAGGATGGCGAGAAGGCGACGCAGTGCAGCGACATGGAGGGTGAGTCGCTCCTGACGAGCCTGGAGCATGCTCAAGTCCAGAAGAGAGGACACAACGTCCTCGCGAGTAGCAATCTGCTCGTTGCAACGGGCTGAGCGAATGGCTCGACTCGTCGGTAGTCGAGGTGGGGAAGGAGGGGAGACAGTGGTCTGCGGAGGCGCAGACGGTACTGCGACAGAGGGCTGAGTACACTCCGTCGAGTCTTGCGATACCTCAACTCTAGTAGCGAGAGGGGCGAACCGCGACGGAGATGTCGGGAAGCCTACTACTGAGGAGGGCGCAGGTGTACACTGCACCATGGCTAGGAGGCACCGCGGGGACGTGAGGCGCCGGGGGGTGACTGAGCACGACGCTGACGAGAAAGATCAACGTAGTGGCGGGCGAGGGCGGTAGTGTAAGGGCACCGCGAGGAGCTATGACCGTCCAAGCAGCAGCGCAAACACCCACGTCGGCCCAGAATAACCGCGCGCTCCTCAGCGGAAAGGACACCACGAGGAGGGACGAAGCCCTGAGGGAGGTCCTCGTGAGGGACCTCGGGGGGCGACGCGCCAGCGTGATCGGGGCGGCTGCGTGCCCGAGAGAAGGCGGAGAGCGCGAGCTGAAGGCGTTCAGCTGCAGGGAGGGTCGAGTCCTTCAAGTGATAGTGGACGGCCTCACAGAGATCGAGGTCGTCGCTGTGGTCGCCCTCAGGTGACAGTATGGCAACAGCGTCCTGCTCACCATACTCCAGCGCGCTGAAGCGGCGCGAGAAGTGGCGGCCCTGCTGCGTGGAACGGCGGGGGCGACCGCGGAAAGGGGAACGGCGCTGGGAAGTGTCGTGAGAGGAGGAGGAGGCGGGGTGAAGACGAGCTCGCATCCGCTGGTGGTCCCTGGCGGCCTCGTAAGCCTGTGGGGCCGATGTGAACTCGTACCGCCATAGGTCGGAGCGGTACTCGAGCGGAAGGTTGGCCAAGAAACGATCAATAAGGGCAGTCTCGAGGATGAACGCCACGTCGCAAACGAGGCGGGCGTCCTGAAAGACCTGAATGTGGCGATCCAGGCCGGCAGCGCCACCAGAGCCTGACCAGCGTGTAGTGACGACACGCTCGAAGGCGTCAGTCACGTCATATCGGGCTCCGAACCGATCCTCGAGGAATGCCTGGAAATCCACGAAGGTCGGAGTCCGACCCTCACGAAGGGAACAGGCATAAAAATCCTCCCAGGCCTCAAAAGGACCGCCACGCAGGCGCGTGGAGAGGTGACCCACCCACGTCTCGGGTGTGGCGCCCATGAGCTGGAGTGTGCGGGTGGCAGACTGCAGCCACCGAGACACGCGTATGCCTGTACTGTCATACAAGGCAATGTCCAACTAGCGGATGAGTGGTGCGCCACCGTTTTGGCGGCGAGGGGATCGAGGAGCGGAGGCCTGTGCCATGGCTGAGTAAGTCGGCGCAGGTCCTGGAGAAAGGGGCGCAGCTGACTGTGCGCCCGGGCCACATGGGGGAGCGGCGGTGGCAACAGCGGCAGGCTGCGAGGGTGCTGCGGTAGAAGAGGTCGCAGCAACCGCGGGAGTAGGAAGAAGGTAGGAAGGAGTTGTATAGGGTGCAGGGCGCGGAAAGCGAGCCTGCATGGGAGGAAGGGTAGAGGAGGTAGGGGATGCGCCCAAAGGCGCGGCCACCTGTAAGGGTGGGGGTGGCTGAAGGCGTAAGAGGGCGAGGTCGGCCCAGAGCTGGGCAATCTCGTCCGCGTGACCTCGAACGTAGGTCGATCGAGGGGTGGCAGGAGGAAGAGTGGAGGGGGTGGACGCACAAGCGGCGCGGGGCATCTCAGAGGGGGGAGAGTCAGGTAGCGCTGCGGTCGTGCGAAGGGGGGGGAGGAGCGGGGCACCCGGAAAAGCTGAGACCATGGTAGCGGGTTGTTGTACCGTGGCCGTAGTGACCGGGATYTGGGCAGGTGCGYCYGTAGACTGAGGGGGGGCCTGGCTCGTGGCGGCCGTCGTGCTAGGGGCGTGGACAGTCACCAAGATGGCCGGGTCAGGGGCAACGGAGGAGGAAGCTCTGCCGTGGCCACCCGGTCGGAGGACGGGGGACCCGGACTGGGAGCCAGGAGATGACGGACGCGCAGCGTCCTAGAGTTGCTGCATGCCGGCGGCAAGGGTCGCCACCTGCGCCTGTAAGGGCGCGAGGGTCGCGAGTTGCGCCTGGATGGGCGCAAGGGTCGCGAGTTGCGCCTGGATGGGCGCAAGGAGGGAGGTGAGGAGGGTGTGTAGATCCCCCTGGGGCTGATGACCCTGGTCCGCCGGCACGGGTGTAGAGCCCGATGTCGTGGTCATCGCCGTGTCGGGGGCGTGTGACGCACCGTCGGCCATGGGGATATGACGGACCGGACTGGAGGGGGCCAGAAGAGGTCCGCGTGAGCGGAGGGCGTAGGGGGAAGTCCGCGGTAGAAAGCGGCGAACGGCGCTAGCAAAGCTAACACGGGCGTCGTCGAAGGGGGAAGGGTGGTTCGGGTCCAGGGTGCCCGAAGAGGACGGGGAAGTAGGGGGGGGTGGAAGAACCCTAAACCCTATAAAAACCCTAAGAAAACCCTAACCGAAGTTCAAGTGGTTAGGGTAGGGTACCGGTGACCTAATCAAGAAAGTAAAATAGCAAGCATAGGGGGGAAGGCGGGAGGAAAATAAATAAACAGCGAGATTTCGAGAGAAAATAAAAATAAATAAG